CATTTTGCGTTAAAGGCGTTAACCTGTGTTAATTCGTGACATTTCATGAGTTAGCACAGGTACTGTAGGTCTCCATATCAACCTCCCGACGAAGACCAAGCGTTAATCACTCTACTCCGCGACGACTGTGGAAAGCAAAGCATTAATATTGTGGGAGATTTTACTGTTCCGCGGATTAACTGGAACCTTAATGGCCACCAACGAGGATTTGACCAAATGCTATAAGACATGGCACTTGAATTTTTGTTTTTATATGTACGAACAATGACTCGGATGCGTGAAGGTCAGAATGCTAGTTGCCTGGACCTAATGTTTACCAAAGATGAGGAAAATGTTGATGATATAAACAGTGGCCCGCCCATAGGTTTTCATGGTCACAAGACATTAATGTGAGAATCAACACTCGTAGCTGTCCCCGTACCTAGTAGGCGAAATATAGCCTATGGTTCAGTAGAGTTTGCCAGTGGAGGAAAAACGTTCGATCACTGTTCTGACCATCATACTGGCGCAGACGATCGCGATCTCTTTTTGAAAGCCTAAACTCTGCTGCTTATGTAGCATGTTGCATCAAACCAGAACAGCTTATCTTTCGGTTAACTGCAAGTCGGTCTTCCTGACAATCTTGTACTAAAGTGCTTGGCCCTTTCCGACAAGCCCAGCATCGAGATTTCGGCATAGTATACGGCGGAATACAGCTGATCGGTCATCCCTGGTCGCGGGGCTTTAAGACACATGCTTTCCTGTGTGGTTGTGGATTCCGGCTTATTGACCACAAAATCTCGAGAGGCTTCATGATTCTTGCCGTTGCCTCCGAACTCATCTTCACATGGGGGGTTGCGGGTCAGACTTTCGGCTCTCTTCTGCGCTGCCGATGAAAGTCTGGTCTACTGAGGCAATTGCTTGTGGACGACTTCGGACAACCATTGTCGGAGTCGCTTTGGGTCATGTGCTTCAGCGCCACAGAGAGGGCGGAAAACCTAGTTGCAGGTCATTTTCTTCATTGTGATCTTCACGATGAAATCATCAGGCAGACTCTGTCCTCGGTGCATATGCTTTCGCGGGAGGCCTCAAATGCTGCTCATTGATCTTCTGAGTGCGCTTGTCTGCTTGCAACAGACGTTTGCTCCAAAGTGTCTTTCGTCCCCCTCCTTCCCCAAGAGTAAATACAACACTAAACCTACTGCCTTATAGGTTTTACGTAGTTTCTTTAGACTTTCCAACCTTTCGAATACCCAAGTGCATGCGCGTGCTCTGCCTTCTACGGCGGACCATGAGGCAGTTGTGTTGTACCAACACTTGAGTAGGTCAGGATCCGTCAGGCGCTGTTGGGCAAATCTCATTCATGGGGGTATGATGACACGCCCAGGCACGGCTTCCCGTCGTGCTAACAGTCCGCGCGCCGGGCTCTTGTGTGTGGGTAGAAGAGAGTGCTTTGTTTGCAGCGCGAGTCAACTGTAGTTTTAATGTAATTTCTATGCACATCAACGTCCGTCTGTCCGTCATGTTGTGGGATATTCGACAGACATCACCGGAATCGCTGGAACGAGAGCTTGTTTCGCCTGACGTTTCGGATTCTCGCTCGAACCCATCATCCGATACAGTTGTAGGATGCTTTCGCCACGATTAAACTGTTGGCAGTCGAGTTCCACAGATATTGGTACGGAGTTCAGGGTTGTCATCACGAGACGGCGGTCAGTGCAGGACCACAGCATCCGTATCGGGCCAAAGTTTGAGGCGATCAAGGATGTGAGATCAACTTAAACCACGCACAATAAGTTCGTTTCGTCTACTGTCAGAAGTCAGGAAGCTGTGAGGACTAGTTTATTCTGTACACAGGGCAGGTTGCCGTAAGTTGGCAGTTTGCTTGCGA